CAGTTGAAGTTGTTAAAAGTCCAGTCCAGCACAGGCGTACCCAGTCCAGCCCAGAACAGAGGCAACTATCCAGACAGAAATGGAAGCACAGCCCTCTTCTTGTCCTTGTATAGTCAGTTTTTCCCTTTTTGAGTCTTGTAAAAGGGAGTTCTGCCTGAAATTGGTTCAATCTGTCATCTTTCATTCTGGTCAGAACTGCCGGTTTTTATACTGAGATAAATTGTAAAAGTCCTTACCAGTCTAAGGCATAGAAAAGAACTTACTTGGGAGATATTCCTCACCCAAATTCACAATCGTTTGGTAAAAGTTAGTAACTTGGGGCGCAAGTTATTTTTACCATAAGTCTGTTAGGGTTGAAAAATTGCTAACAGTGGCACGCTCAACACATAAAGAAAGTTAATTCACTGACCAAAACATGGTCTTTGAATTAATGGGGAACTTTGCCCTGTCATCTCAGGAAGTAAATCAAAACGGGTGAACATATATTTATTAAGTAGCTTTAAATTTATTATTTTAGTTCGGATCAGATTTTTGTTAGAAAAATATATTATTGTAGTTCGAATTGGGTTTTTGTTAGAAAATATATATTTTAAATTGACGATCGAATTAGTTCATTGTATTCATATAGGGTCAAGGAGGGTAGATGTAAAAAATCATCAAAATCGAAATTGAAATAACCGTTAAATTGTGATTTTTCATTTATAACCATCAAAATGTTTTGTCCCATTACTTGATATCTGAATGTTTATTTTTTCCGATTTTTGGTGTATATGATCTCGAAGTATAAACAAACAAGTTTGACGGTTGGATCGTTGAAACTAGTTTCGTAGAATGCATATGCCATCAAAATAATATATTCACTAACAATTAAGAGTTTATTTATACTTTTGTTAAATATAACATAAGATTTTGTGGTATCCACTAGTGTAAATATTTTAAATTGACGATCGAATTAGTCCATTGTATTCATATAGGGTCAAGGAGTGTAGCTGTAAAAAATCATCAAAATTAGAGTTGAAATAACCGTTAAATCGTGATTTTTCGTTTATAACAGTCGAAATATTTTGCTCGTTACTTGATCTCTTAATGTTTATTTTTTCCGATTTTTGGCGTATATGATCTCGAAGTATAAACAAACAAGTTTGACGGTTGGATCATTGAAACTAGTTTCGTAGAATGCGTAAGCCATCAAAACAATATATTCACTAACAATTAAGAGTTTATTTATACTTTTATTAAATATCACATAAGATTTTGTGGTATCCACTAGTGTAAATATTTTAAATTGAAGATCAAATTCAGCCATTGTATTCATATAGGGTCAAGGAGTGTAGCTGTAAAAAATCATCAAAATCAGAGTTGAAATAACCGTTAAATCGTGATTTTTCGTTTATGACCGTTGAGCGACGTTAACTTTTGTCTCGCAAAGTAGTTTAGGTTCGTCGCGCAAAGTAGATAATATTCGTCGTGCAAAATAGATAATATTCGTCGCGCGCAAAGTAGTTAATATTCGTCGCGCAAAGTAGTTAATATTCGTCGAGCAAAGTTGTTATTATTCGTCGCGCAAAGTAGTTAGGATTCGTCGCACAAAGTGGTTAGTATTCGTCGTGCAAAGTATCTTTGAGCGACGTTATTATTCGTCGCGCAAAGTTGTTATTATTCGTTGCGCAAAGTAGCTCTGGGCGACAAAGAATATTTTTCGTCGCGCAAATGCTTTCTCCACGAGCTTTGCGCGACAGAACTTGCGCGACGAAGTTGTACTTTGCGCAACAAACTTATTTCGTCACGCAAAGTGTTTTTTGTAGTAGTGACCACACGTCATGGACTAACAAGAGAGTCAAATTCTGGTCACTTTGGACCATTGCAATAAAAGAACAAGTCAAAAATGAAAACAAACACAAAGACGAGAACCGCAACTAGAGACCAACACAGTAGACCCACATGAGAGGACCGTAGAAACCCCAAATAGTAAACCCACAGGAGAGGACCGCAGAACATCCCAACTGTCAGAAGAAGCCTTCTATGAGCGAAATCATAGTCCTTTGACACCCACACAAACTGTAAGGTCATAGCAGAAACCAAGAAAGAACACGGAGGAGGAACACAGAAACAACAGTAAAAAGACCCCTGAGAAGCACTCCACTTCAACTCAAAACCTGACAAAGAAAACCTCCTATGACCAAGCATAGTTCTTCGGTCGGCGCAGAGTAGAGAACAGCACCACATCCCAACAACTACCACCAGCGTCGCTGCTATCGCTGACGTTAAAACAGAGACAAAACATCAGCCACTAGGTATCACAACTCTCCCAAGGAGAGACACAATCTAGCGTCACTACTGTTGCTGCTGCCAAGACAAAGACAACACCAGTCACCTAGAACACCTCAAAAACAACCAAACAAAACAAACAGACAAACACACCTAGATCCAAATAGATCTAGACTATTTGGGGAGGGGGAGGGGAGGAGAAGAGGGGATAAGAGGAAGGAAAAAGATGGGAGAAAAAGAAGGAGAGATGAGGAGAGGGAGGGGAAGATGGGCGGAGGGGAGGAGGGGCAGTGGCCACCTCCCCCCTTAGCTTCCTTGTTGTTGGTTGTCAGCAAGGCGAAAAGGGAGCAGGATGCGGCCAGGGTTAGTTCAGAACAAGTTGATATCAGAATATATGATGTTAACTTATATTAATATATTGGCAGAAGAAATAAATGCTGTTTATACCCAAAATGAACCGCCAATGAGGACGAGACACGTGGAAGACTTCGAGCTTGGTCATGGACACCCTCGGCACCCTACCTACCGATCGCCCCATTAGGGCAACACCCTCTCATGGGACACGTGGCATGCTCCCCAGCGACGTCCACAGTCCCACATCGAAATTATCAACGAAATGCACACCTCCCAAGGCCTATAAAAGAAGCAAACTACCCCAAAATAGAGGTAATCAGAACTAACGGCATACAAGCCTATTGATCTGTCAGTTGAACTTTCTATTCCCGAACTTACTTAAGCATCAGAGAGCCTTCGGCCGGTACCACACCGGTGCCTTAGGTCTTACCGAGCGTTCTCTCATCTTTACAGATCACGCTCCCTACCGAGGCCACAAGCATACCGAAGGCATAAAATTACTAAGTTGACCCTCAAAGTCAGAGAACCACTTTTTGGCGTCAACAGTTTGGCGCCGTCTATGGGAAACGATAAAATCGACCCTTTATCCCAAAACATATGGGGACCAACTCGAAAACTACGTTCCTACCGCAGGAGGGGATGCCGTTCGGCATGCCTAGCGGGGTTAGCCCAGCGCCACCCCCATGTACCCCGGCAACTAATCCACCTGTACTCCAACCCGCTGAGAACGCAGAGCTTTTAGCCCAAGTCATATCCCTTCTGCAGGACATGGCTAGGTTACAGGAACATAACAACTTCCTCTCATCCAGAGTGGACGAAACACAACAGTTGCTCAATAAATAGAAAACACAAAACATCCAGACCGATCGAACTTCCGAGAGCCTACAGACTCCCCGTCGGCAGAGGAAGGGCAAGAAGGTGGCAGAGGCAACGCCTGCGCCGTCTAAACAATTGGTAGTCCCGGCACCAAAAAATAAGCCCCATGTGCCAAAGAAGGTCTATTCCGATTGTCGACACAGGTTGTTAGAGCGGGAAGTCGAACGGCATACCGAACGGCAGGAATCGCCGATCAGGATAAATGCCCACCTGGATGATCCCCGACTGAGAAACATGGGGAGGAAGTCGCCGATACGGAGGATACAAGTCTTGGAATCAACGGCAGAGTCTGACCAAGAGTACGATCCTTCCACCAATCGGTCATCGTCCTACCGTTCGGCAACGCCGACGAAATTCTCTGAAGTTAACCCTATCAGGTCCCACTAGCGATCGGTGCATCAAACCGCGGAGGAGATACCGGACAGGGACCCTGTCATTCGCCTCCTCCTTCAAAGGGTACAGAAGATGGAGGACGATCGAACTCGTTCTCAGGAGCCAGACTGGGGAAGGCTTCGGCCAAGACCCTTCACCGAACGCATAAGGCGCTCCCGGCAAGACAGAGACGTACAGCCCCTACGCATAACCCCTTACACAGGAGTGGAGGATCCACTGACACACCTTCACTCTTTCCAATCGGCTGTAGGGTGCCGAGGGCTAAGCGACGAAGGACTGTGCCTTCTGTTCCCCTCTTCGCTCACAGAAGCGGCTCTGAACTGGTTCTACCGTCTGGAACCAGGAACGGTAGATTCCTTCGACGAGCTAAAACAGATTTTCCTGAACCATTTTATGATTCAGACGGACATACTGTATTCTGCCGATGATCTGTATACCATCCGGCAGAGAGATTACGAACCATTGCGTGAGTATGCCGCACGATTCAGCCATGAATACTCGAGATGTCTAGATACCGATGACAGGGCAGCCTACGACGCCTTCAAGAGTGGCCTACGGTCCTCACACTTTCGATATCTGGTACACAGCAGCAATTGGCGTACGTACGATGAACTCATGAAGCAAGCGGCAATCCACACCAAAGCTGACTACTTCAACTCGAGGGCCGAGCCCACGGCTCGGCAGAGCGAACCCATACAACGGTCCTCCACGGCACAGGCATCGCCGTTCGCGCCAGCAGCACAAACTGCCGGATACCTTGAAAGCCACAAGCGCAAAGATGCCGGAAGCTCCCAAAAGGGGCATTCCAAGAAAAATAAGAGCAGGTACGGCAGGGACAACTACCGAGCCCCACTACCGGCACATAACCAGGGGACAGAGGTGTTCACCCTGCTCAATACCTCCTACGAGGCGGTGCTGATGAACGAAAACGAGATAATCCCGAAGCCAGCGTTCCGGAAGCCTAATCGGCAAGATGGCAGGGATACAGGAAAATTCTGCCGATACCACCAGCAGAATAGCCACAACACTGAGGACTGCATCAGCTTGCGGAAAATCGTCGAGCGGCTCATTCGGGAGGGCAAGCTGGATCAAAACATAGCCAGACCCCAGCAGGCGCCAATGCCGAACGCCAATCGGCAAATCAATATGATCAGCACGATCAGCGGTGGCCCAACCCTCGCCGGGGCATCTAATCGGTCAATGAAGCAGTATGTCAGGGCGGCACAGTACCCCCAAGTTCTCGGCATTGAAAGTAGCCGGCACGCCAAGATGCCGAAAGTCAGGTGGGAACCCATCACCTTTTCTGAGGAAGAAGAGGAGGGGATCATATACCCGCATGAAGACCCTATGATAATCTGAGCCAAGATTGCCGAATTCGATGTCGGACGAATTCTGATCGACACTGGCAGTTCAGTAAACGTCATCTTAGCTTCTCGGGAGACTTGGTCCAGCCGATCGGCACTGTCAGCTTGCCGCTCGCCTTCGGCACAGCCCCACGAAGGACCATGGTCTACGACCAGTTCCTTGTGGTGGACTGTCCGACGGCTTACAACGTCATAGTCGGCCGAACGGCACTCACGGCGATAAAGGCCCACCTATCCCTCCACATACTGCTCATGAAGTTCCCAACCTGCTACGGCACGGGGGCAATCAGGGGCGATCAGGTAAGCGCTCGGAACTGCTATGCCACGGCGTTGAAATCGGCAGCCCCCCAAAAGCAAAAAGAAACCTTCACAGTCCCAGGCTTGCTAAACGGCAATGAACCAGTAGATGACCCAAGTGAGGAAACGCCCACTCCAGTGGCACAACCTGCCGGGGACCTCGAAACCGTGGCGCTGGACGAACGCCAACCGGATCGGTGCGTAAGAATCGGTACCATGCTGAACACCACCCTCCGTGCCGAATTCATCCAGTTCCTTCGGCAAAACTCGGAAGTCTTTGCCTGGTCTTACAACGACATGCCGGGCATATCCCCTGATATCATCAGCCACAAGCTGAGCATCTCACCGGCATTCAAACCGGTCAGGTAAAAGCGCCGATCCTATGATGCCGAACGGTATGAAGCCATGAAGAACGAAGTGGACAAACTCATGACAAGTGGACAAACTCATGACCATAGGCTTCATCCGGGAGGCAGTATACCCTGACTGGTTGGCAAACTCTGTCATGGTTTGGAAGGCAAAAGGTGGATGGCGAATGTGCCAAGACTATACCGACCTGAACAAGGCCTGTCTGAAGGATAGCTTTCCGTTACCACGCATCGATCAGCTGGTTGACGCCACTGCCGGTCACGAATTGCTCAGCTTCATGGACGCGTACTCCGGATACAACCAGATCTTCATGCACCCTGCCGACAGCGAACACATGGCGTTCATAACTGACAAAGGCTTATACTGCTATAACATCATGCCGTTCGGCTTAAAGAATGCGGGGGCAACCTACTAGAGACTAGTCAACCAAATCTTCGCTGAGCAGATCGGCAGTATAATGGAGGTCTATGTGGATGACATGCTAGTAAAGAGCCGAACGGCAGGAGAGCATCTGAAAAACCTATCGCTCATGTTCGGCATCTTGAAGGATTATCGAATGAGACTCAACCCAACGAAGTGCGCCTTCGGCGTATCTTCCGGGAGATTCCTCGGTTTCATGATCAGCCAGAGGGGTATCGAAGCAAACCCAGATAAAATCAAGGCCATAATCGACATGGAGGTGCCGAAGACACAGAAGGACATCCAGAGCCTTACCGGACGAGTAGCAGCCCTTACTCGCTTTATCTCCAAAGCCACAGACAAGTGTGCACCGTTCTTCAAAGCCTTGAAAGGGGGCAAACACCATATAGAATGGACTGCCGAATGCGACAAGGCGTTTCAAGACTTGAAGGACTACATGGGCAGAGCTCCGCTACTGTCAAAACCCCTCCTAGGGGAAATACTCTCTCTATATCTATCGGTATCCAACACTGCCGTCAGCTCAGTACTATACGGATCCCAGAGAAGGCAGAACTGCCGATTTTTTACGTCAGTAAAGCCCTACAGGGGGCAGAGTCTCGGTACCCCCCACTTGAGCAGCTGGCTTTAGCCCTGGTCGTTTCTGCCCGGCGACTGCGGCCTTACTTCCAGGCCCACAACATCATTGTCCTAACTAACCAACCTCTTCGGTAGGTTTTTCAAAAGCCAGAAATATCCGGTAGGCTGGTCAAATGGCCAATTGAACTGGGAGAGTTCGACGTACAGTTCAAACCCAGACCTGCCGAGAAGGGACAAGCCGTAGCAGACTTCATCGCTGAACTGACACCTTCGGAGGCATCAGAACCTGAAAAAACCCCTCCACAGGAAAACCTACCGAACGGCAGTCGTCTCAACCAGTCAACTCCTGCCTGGATCCTACACGTGGATGGCTCGGCAAGCCAACAAGGGTGCGGAGCTGGCCTGGTACTCACCACTCCCGATGGAACCAAAATTGAATATGCCATCAGGTTCGGCTTCAGAACGTCCAACAACGAAGCCGAATACGAGGCACCTTTGGCCGGCCTACGGCTCGCCAAAACCATGGGGGCCATTCAGATCAGCATCTACAGCGACTCGCAGCTGATAGTGAACAAGGTGACTGCCAATTTCGCAGCGAAGGACCCATCAATGTCGGCATACCTCACGGCAGCACACCAACTGCTAAACAAATTCCAAGTGTACGAAATTCAGCAGATACCAAGAAACGAGAACAGTCATGCCGACGCCCTCGCTAGGCTGGCTTCGGCAATCAACGACAAAGTGGGCCGAAAAATCCCCGTCGAGATACTGACCCTACTGAGCACCACCATTGCCGAGATCTGCACTATAGAGTATAACGACACATGGATGTCGCCTATTCATGCTTACCTGACAAACGGCACTCTCCCTGGAGACAAGGCCAAGGCAAGACAGCTGCGTTACCGATCGGCAAGGTACATCATCATCAGCGATGTTCTGTACAAACGTGGCTACACCACCCCATACATGAAATGCATCACCGAAGAGCAGGGCGAATATGTCATTCGGGAGATCCACAGTGGAGTCTGCGGTAGGGCTACTATTGGCCATCCATGCACAGGGATGCAATCGCGATGGTAAAGAAGTGCGACAAGTGCCAACGGTTCGGCAATATCCCGCACCTGCCTGCCGAACCCCTCACACTGATCGTGAGTCCATGGCTGTTCGCCCAATAGGGACTCGACCTAATCGGTCCAATGTCGCAGGGCAAATGACAGGTTAAGTATGCAATCGTTGCCGTGGACTATTTCACGAAATGGGTTGAGGCCGAAGCCTTAGCCACCATTTCAGCAGCAAGGGTCGAGGAATTCGTCTGGACCAATATCTGCTGCCGTTTCGGGATCCCCCACGCCATCATCACCGATAACGGCAGGCAGTTCGATTCAGAGCTCTTCAGGCAGTTCTGCACTCGCCTCAAAATCAACCTATTCCTCGCCTCCCCAGCTCACCCTCAGCCGAACGGCCAGGTAGAAGCCGTGAACAAAATTATAAAGTCAGCCTTGCATTCGGCTCGGAAGCCGTTTTCTCGGTAGAGATCGGCGAGTCAACCTATCGAACGGAAGGTTTCGCACCGAAGGCGAACGAGGCTGCAAACAGCGCGTCTCTCGGTACTACGACTCAAGGGTCAAACCTCGCTCCTTCAGAATCGGGGACTAGGTTATGCGCAAGGTTTCGCTTGCAACCAAAAACCCAACGGAAGGAACCCTCGGACCTTCCTGGGAAGGACCCTGTGAAGTCATCGGCATCCTTCGATCCGGTACCTACAGGCTCCGAGGCACAGATGGGAAGACCCTCGGTCACCTATGGAATGTGGAACATCTCAAGAGTTATTTTAAATAAGCCCCCTAGCCAACGGCAGGGTGGAATTTGTATTTTTGCCTACGAGACTTATATATAAAAGGAGATTATCCAGAATTGTACATGTTTGGAACGTTGTAGCCTACGACATTTTCTTTCAAAAAATGTTTCGGTAGGGCTCATTATATACGAGCCACAGCAACATTACCTACGGCAATTAAAAGCAACACGCTAGTGTATTTACTACCGACTCCAACTTAACTTCATCTATTTTCAAGTTTTTTGGACAACACACATTGAGTACGAGCCAATGGCAGTACCGTGCTCTGGAATTACCTACGGTATTCTCATCACACACAAGCTACTTAAAACCAGTACGGTACCCTAAACTTGCCCACAGCACCTCTACAGGGAAATGGTTACTGGAACCTAATGCCTACAGACGGTACAACAACTACTTTGGGTATATCTACCGAAGGTAGAGACACTTTGCGAATCCAAAGCAAACAAACTCCTAAGTGGCCAACGGCCCAATCAGTAATTATCCCAGATAGTTATTAGCCTACGACAGTAACAAGCATGAATAGAACTCAAAAACAAAATAAATCAAAATACAAGTAGTTAAACAAAACGGTACTTAAATTAAGAATGCCCTCGGCATTAATGTGTTCTGAAATATTGGCAATAATACAAAAATTTTTAAATTACAAAGCAGCTCAGGCTTCGGCAGTCCGATCTCCTTGGTCATTGGTAGCGGCGTCAACGGCAGCATCAGGAGCACCCTCGGCATCTTCGGGGGCATCCTCCCCTTCATACTCCTCAATCATCTCTTATGTAAGGCCTTCTGGCAGAGGAGGGGGATCGGCAGCGAAGTTCAAGTTGAGTTTCTGCCCTGGGTTGAACCGCTTGAAACGGTAGATGAGGTCCAGAAGAGTGGTAAACTTAGATGAGGAACGGTATCCCCTGATGGCCTCGTTAACGGCAGCCTCTATCTCCGCTGCCTACGACCGCTCGGAAGCCTCGAGCGCC